GGGTCGAATGATATCTTTATATAGCTTCAATTGGGTGATGTGGGGGCTTACGAGTCGATTGATATTTATATTGGCTTCGGTCGGGCGTTTGGTTGGTGCCTATGGATGGGAGATATAAGATTGGCTTCAGCTGGGTGTTTGGTTGGTGCCTACGGGTGAAAGATATTTATATTGGCTTCGGCCAAGTGTTTGTAGATGGCTTCAGCCGGAATATATTCATATTGGCTTCAGCTAGGAGATGTGGTGCCTTCAGGCGAATGAAGATATATGTTTATATATATATATATATATGCCTTAATATGGCTTCGTCACCTTCAAGTGTCGGCCAGCACGTGTCTAACCTGGTGTTTGGAGAATAACAGGATCGGGAGTGTCAAGTGGCACGATAACAACCCGATTAGTTAAGCTGTTGACCCAAAATTTGTTATTTTCTTGTCATTTTGTGTCAAATTAATAAATCGTGCAAAAAATTATTAGATCAATTGGTGGTGCAAAATTTTGGTTCCATCATAAAAAAAATAAAAATAAAAATAAAAACTAATTTTTCTCTCTTTCCTATTTAATTTCCCAACTTCACCAAACTTGACGGTGAAAAGATGCATTCCTTTTTGCGTACGACATACACTTAGTAGTAGCTATTCAGTAATTTTATCACTCGGGACCACACCCCTACAAAATTTTAAAAGTACTGATGTCTCCCCAACCACCAAACCCACCATGCCATGTAGAGTCAACCTTAATTTTTCCAGCCTCCACCAGGCCGTGTGCAAATTTCTTTCTTCCTTCCTTTTTGGATGGAAACCACGGCTTGGATTTTTACAAGTAATTTGTTCTTGTAAGTCAGATTGGAAGTTTCACTTGCTACATTTTGTGCTTAAGGATTTGCCATACAGTCATGATCCTTGAGTTTGAATTGCCTGATTATTGCCATTGGTTACCAATATCACTGAGGATGTATCTCTTCTTGATTCAAATAGCACTAGCTTTTCAGTTGTTGATAGTGATTATGGTAGCTTCAAACATGACATGGCAATACTGGTGTAGAAAATATATACTTGGTATAACCGTCTTACTTAGTATAGATTAGTATAGAATATTGTTTGTAATACAATATAAAATAAAAACCCAGTACAAGCTTAGGAGTTCATGTTGTGCAATGAGATATTTTTTCAAGTGTACTCAGAACATAAGGTGATACACCCCGTATTATTATATAAGTCGACGAAATAGTTGAATGTCACACTTTAGAATACATTTTTCAATGTTTATGTACATATATTATGACATATAATGTATTATCTCGCATATCGAATAAATTAAATATCTCTCATTGTGCAACACGCTTTTCTAGCATGTAAGATGAGGTGGAGCACTTGGCTTTCATATCATCTTTCTAAATTAAAAGCAAAACTCGAGAAATAAGTGGTATATCACATATCATTATACAATTACAAAAAAGTTTTTTTTTTCAAGTGTCACTCCAATTATATGATAGCTTGTGGTGTACCACCTGTGTTTTAGATACATTGAAAAAGGCATATGTTTGCTCACCACTTTCAAGTGATGGTGATGTTCACCTTATTTAACACTGTTTGATGAGTTTAAATTTTGAGACACAAATCTCAAAATATAAACTCACGGTAATAAGTAAGGCGGTGAGCGTCACCACCACTTGAGGGTGGTAAGAAAAATACACCCCACTAAAAAAATCTCTCCCAAATCTGAAGAGCAACAAAAACACAATGGAAAGGGATCATCTCCGGATCTCTTCCACTTAATCCTCCTCATTAAACAATTGGAACCCTTGAAATTTAATCCAACTGCTACTAATAAGGGCTCACTCTAAAAATTATAAAAACTTTAGCCGTTGAATCAAATTTCAAAAGCCTGAATTATTTGATGAGGAGGATTAGATAGAGGATCCTTTCCGGATCCCTTTCCAAACGCAATGCCACTTTGCTTTTTAGGAAAGCGCGTGGGTGGATTAGTTATCAATCAATCCTATCATTAGCCTCAAAGTAGAATGTTTTAGCAGCGGGAAGGACGTCGCAAATTAACTAGAAAAAGAGGCGTGATTAACGCGGACAAGCAATAATTTTTCCTCAATCTCGTAGATAACTCGAATTCCGGTGGCGAATGTCCATGACTAAAAGGCACACACGCAAAAACGCCAAATGATGGCGGTTTCCTGGGCGGTTTCGTTTAGTTTTTGAATCATCCAAGCGCCAAAATCTCACCTTAACCCATTGTTAACCACCAATTATGGCAATATCCATCACTCAATTCAAACATACTAACTTCTTCAATCTTGATAGGTATGATATTCAAACAAATAATGTCACGTTCAAGTGGTCCTGGAAAGGAGTTGAGTCCTTGCATGACAGCATGAGTTTGAATTTTGTCGATGACTAATCTAATATCTAATCTAACAAACTCTATTGTTTGATAAAAATAAAAATAAATAAAGTCACAAGACAATTTATTTATATATTTTAGAGAAATGCTAATGATGCTCTCTCAAAGTGGGATTCTTCATAGACTCTTTACCACCTCCTAGTTTAACTTAATTTTCGTGCTAACATAATAAAATATTGTACAAAAACATGAAGTATCAGAGAGTCCATAATGAGTGCCACTTTTGAGAGAGTTTCCTTAACATTTTATCATATTTTTAATATTATACAAGTGCTATGAAGAGAGGTAGATTGAACATCCGGTTGGAAATAAATGTGTTTTTAACCAATTGAGTAGCAAACCTTATCATGATTAATCACCGAGTTAATACTTTTAACGTTGATACTTTTGTGTGTTTATATTCTGCTTGTTTTGTAAAAGGTAGTTTGATTGTAGAACGGTGAACATATTTCGAACACAAATGATAAATCTTAAGATTTATGAATAATAAGTTAAAAACACGTATGCATATCGCCATTTTCGATATTTAAATCAACCTATTATTTCCAATGAGAAAGTGTATTGTGCAAGTCTCTCTTGTTGCTACAATTAACATTTTAAAATGTGCTAGCCGCTAATCGGACGTCGTACTGGAGCCTAGCACTTAGGCGGCTAAGAGGGGTTTAGGCGGATTTAAGTGTTTCTTTACTTAAAAAATACATAATTATATTGAATTCATAAATTGCAAAATAAAATGACACATAAATGATAAAAGTATTATAACATATTGAAAATATGTGGAACTATTATATAATAAGTGTTTGTTCGAGTATTAAACTAGTCTCTTCCATTCTATTGGAAAAAAAAAATGTAAGATGAAAGTTATCTATTTTTTATATAAGTGAGAGTCGCAACCTAAGCAGGTCTAGGCATGCTAGGCAGACGTGTAAGCATCTTTAGGCGCTCTTTCTTGATTTTCAAACGCCTAGAGATTAATCAAAGTGGTAGCCAGCCGCTCAGTGCCTAGGCAGATCCTAGATGGCGCTAGGCTGGGATTTCTTGAACAATGCTAATAATCATAATACCAACGTTTGTGAGAATTTGTAAAAGCTCGAAAATCATTTGTTCATATTTTTTTTTTATATATGTAACACTTCTTCAGATAATTAAAGGAACTTTAACGAAAAACTTCCGGTACTGTTCATTTTAATGAAAAATCATATTTTTACACCAAAAAGTCAATCCTGGTACTATTCACTTTACCCTTTATTTTATCATTTTTGTTAAAACTCAAAGTTTTCAAGTTCTTTTCATTAATTTTTCTTATAATTAATCGTGTGATATCAGTATGATGACGTAGTATAACTGTTTCATATTATAAATAAGATTTTTCTATTTAGAGGCCTTGGAAAAGTTGTAACTGAAGGAACCAATGCCATGATGGTCATTGGTGATCATGGTCAAGCCCAGCTAGATTTGCTTTTTTAGAGATAAGTGGATATGGACTTGGTCCGAATAGGCCAAGCATGCCAACCCTTTGAGACCTAGAATAGTCAGCCAGCCAGAGCCAGACAGCCATCCCCACCACCCTTTGTCACACGCATGCACCAAACACGCACCAAGTCACAACCCCTCCCCAGTATTTAATTTAAATATTATTTCAGAATTGCCCCTTAAGCTTTTGATTTTATTTTCACTTTTGTCTGTCATCTCCCTTTTTTGTTACAAATTAGTCTCAAAACTTTTAAATGTGTGAACTAGTCATAATAGCAGCACGTGAACACGTTACGAAGGATATTTCTTAATCCATCTATTTGGAAAAAAGAAATGCCTTCCATCCATTGGGGCGTGACCACTTAAGTCCACATGTAAGCATTGAGAACGAATTCGACATTGATAGAAAGAATGATCTTGCATGAGTTTATAAATAAGTTGGGCTACTTTTCATATTATCAATTGATTTTATGGTAAAACCTCAACTTCATAGTATTAGAGAAGGTTGTCCCACATGTGAAGCCAATCAGCTACACACATTCCAAATCATCCAGTTTGTGTTGTTCACATGTTAGGCTTAAAAATTCATTTTTAAGTGAGTGTTTTTAGGTTCGAATCTAGTAAATAGAAAATTTGATACCAAATTAGATTGTCCATTGTATGACTTAGCCGAGCTCCCCCTCCTCTTAATGTAAAATATATCATTATACTCAAAAATAAAAAATAAAAATTGCCTCCAAGACCCCAAACACTAATCTTATTAATTTTTAAACTATTATCATTGTTCCCAATTAACACATTTCAGGTCTTATTTTAATTTTTAACGTAGCCTTTTCACTTATAAAAGTGAGGTCTTAAATTTGATTCCATGAATGTCAAGTTTAATGCCAAATTATAATTGGTCATTGTGTAGAATAATAAAAAATTTGAGACCAGCTTGTGATGAACCAAAGTTTGAGGTCCAGAGTGGAAGCACAAATAAATTTCAGGGACTAAATTTATAATAACTCATTGATTTAAATTTACTCAAAATTCAAAAAAAAAAAATAATAATAATAATAATAATAATAATAGCAGACGGACACTGAAAGAGATAGATAAAAACACAAAACCAATAACTCGGGCACTTGCTTTGCCCACAAACCTGCCTTTATTTCAGTGCTTTTAACCCAACTCACTCTGACCCCATCAATCATCCGCACCGCACCACCCCACAGTTTTCATCTTTCTCTCCTTCTTCTTCCTCCTCTCTCCTTCCCCAATTCCAGGTACAATAATAGAAATGGAAATTAACAGAATTTAATATTTAGTTTATTTAATTCCCATGCAAAACGAAAACCCAATTTTGTTCACTTATTGTGCTTGAACTTGTGAATTTTTTACGACTGAAGTTTTGGGTGTCTAGAAATGGAGTACTGCATCGAAGCAAAGGCCTTGAAATCGAGTCTGCGCAGAGAACTGGCCGTGAAGTCGACCCAGCATGTTTTGTTGGAGGAGCTTTGGTGTGCTACTGGAATTTCCGGTGTGCCCTGTGAGGATTTTTCAGTGGACGACCTTCTTGACCTCTCCAATGGTGAATTCGAAGACGGGTCCGTTGAAGAAGAAGAAGAAGAAAAAGAGTCAGTTTCCGTGGATGATGAAATTTCTAATTCAAGCAGTTTGGTCTTGCCCGACTCTGACTCTGGTCTGGCAACCCAACTCTTGGTTCCGGTAACAATCTTTGAGTTTTCAATTTTTTGGGTTAATTCTCTGTTAAATTATGTAATTATTTGAAATTAAATTTTGGGTTTTGTGTTAATTTGACAGGACGATGATTTAGCAGAGCTTGAATGGGTTTCCCATTTTGTGGACGATTCTCTACCGGACCTCTCTCTGTTCCACACAATTGGTACCCAAAAACCAGAAGCTCTTCTTATGAACCGGTTTGAACCGGAACCCAAACCGGTTCCATTAAGAGCTCCGTTGTTTCCTTTTCAAGTTCCAGTCAAACCCAGAACCAAGCGTTACAAACCGGCTAGCCGGGTTTGGTCCTCCTCCTCTTCATGTTCACCATCATCATCGCCTTGTTCTTCCGGGTTTTCATTTTCAACTCCTTGTCTTATCTTCAACCCGGTTCAAAGCATGGACGTGTTTGTTGGTGAACCGGCGGCTAAGAAACAAAAGAAAAAACCGGCGGTCCAAACAGGGGAGGGTTCAATTGGGGGACAGTTTCAGCGGAGGTGTAGTCATTGCCAAGTACAGAAGACTCCGCAATGGAGAACCGGTCCACTTGGTCCTAAAACATTGTGTAACGCATGCGGCGTCCGGTTCAAGTCTGGCCGGCTTTTTCCGGAGTATAGGCCGGCTTGTAGTCCTACTTTCTCTGGTGCTGTCCACTCGAATAGTCACCGTAAAGTGTTGGAGATGAGGAAGAGGAAAGATGTTGGCGAGCCCGAACCGCTGTTGAACCGAATGATTCGGAGTTTTTGACGGGTGAAATTTAGAGAATAGTGCACTTGAACCGGCTTGAATGGAATGGACTCAATTGTGTTGTGCATGGTTGTAATAGTAGTGGTAGTAGTACTAGTAATAGTGAGAAATTGTTTATTGTAACCAGAACACGGATGGTATACCACGTGTTTTTATATAAGTGATGGAAAATTTTATTTTTTAAGTTATTAACTTTTTAACACATATATCACACCATTTGTATAATAACACGTGGTGTACCACCTATGTTCCGGTCATACCAAAAAATCTCTCTAGTTGTAGTAGGATTTTAGGAAGGTTTTAGAATTTAGCAATAGTTTTAGGCTTTAGGTTTTCATTCTTGTATTATCAATTTGTATTTAGGATGGTGCTATATTTTTATTTCTCACATATTTCTTGTTAATTTTTTTTTATAATAATTTATTATATCCAACGATAAAAAATTAAGAGGTGTGTGGGGAGTAAAAAAGTTATTTATTGAGGGAGAGATATGGATATGAGGACTGATGAGCTTTTGTTTTGTAGGTCTCCCCCTCTAATTAGGGTTTAGTGGAGTTTTTGGATCTTTTGATTTGTTTTTATCAACTTCACTTTCACAAAGGCATTGAAATTTTCAAAACTCCAAAGTAGTTCAGCGGTTTTTTATGGATGTGCAATATATAAGTGAAACATTAGAAATTTTAGTTGACCAAACCAAAGAACAAAGGAAACTTGATTCTTGAAAGTTGAAAGGCCAATTTGAGAATTACCAATAAAAAAAGGCAAATTTGAGAGAATGGTGAGCTGTAATTGAGGTTTAAAGAATGATTGTGTCGGTCAAAGCCCATGGCACGACTAATCAATCACCACTAAAATACTTCCCCAAAAATTTATTATTGTACAGGTGCTCAAATTATCTAATCTTAGATTCAATTCTCGTCAAATGTAAGTTTGAACAATATTATTATTAGCTTATTGTGAAGTTAAGCCCGCCTCTCCTCCTTAATGTATATAATATCGTTTATTCAAAAAAATGAAATTAAAAAAAAAAAACCCATTAAGGGGTGGGGTTTTTTTATTTGAACGCTTTATGCGTGATTAATTCAATCTCAACACAAGGTGATATTAATCTCTCACCTCCAGTGATGGGCACAAAACCAAGGACTGAAGCCAAAGCACAAATCAAACTACACCGCACTGAACGGTTCAGTATTTTTTATTTTAAAACGGTAACCGAAACTGAATCGCGCCACCTTCTCAAACTCAAAGGCCTCATAAACCTTCGAAAAGTAAGTATTCAAAAGGAAATGGACAATGAAAAGGTTGGATGATTCAAAGTAGTGACTTGAAACACAAAAACTTTTTGTTGGATTGCATGAACAGTTAAATTTTTTTGGGTTTGTACTAATGCTATAAGGCATTTTAACGTTGACCTTCATTTGAACTTTAATTTTAGTACAGTAAACTTAACTTTTACAGTTGGGTTGTTCTAAAGTAATGTCATAAGCCATTTTGATGTTGAACTTTGTTTCAAGTTGAATTTTAGTATGTGATGATCATGAATTTTTTCAATTGAGTTGTATATCAAAGATATAAAAATTTAGTTTGCGAACGACTTGTTTTGAACTTTTGGGTTTGTTTAAACGTTGAATACTTATATTAATACCAATTGTTTAATAGGCCTACAAATGAGACACAAACCGAAACCAAGCCCATTTGAAATCGAACCAAACCATAGTAAAATGGTTTGATTCCATCTCTGTCCTTAAGCAAAACCGCACCGAATTAAATTTCAATTTAATTTCGATGTTGCTGTAAAACAACATTGAACTAAACCGTGCCACCTATTCACCCCCTCCACTCCTAGATTTTTCCTATAAGAGCATTTCTACTCTTAAAAAGCCCCCGAGCAATAGGCAATTCAATCCCCCAAGTGAATGGTAGTTACTTAAGTGCATCTTCACCCTTAAACTAAATAACCTAGGCAATTGGTATTAAAATATTATTAAACTTTAGTTATAAAATAATAAAACATAAGTTTATTTTTAATTTCGTATGATAATAAAAGATTGGTTAAAAGTATTTGAAAATATTGAAATGTGGTGTAAGAGCACTTCCAGTGTAGGAAGGTCCCCTGGGTAATAGGCAACTCAATCCCCAATGAACAGTAATGACCCAAGTGCATTTCCACCCCTAAACTGAATAGCCCAAGCAGTTTGTATTAAAACATTAGTATTTTTTATTTTATAAAATAATAAAAGATTACTTTATTTTATTTTCAGATAATAATAAAAGATTAGTTGAAAGTATTTGAAAATATTGAAATGTATTGTAGAGTGGAAGAACAGGGTTAGGTATTTATATAAATATATATATATATATATATATATCTTTAATTAATTTTTTATAATTCTTAATAATTTCTATATTTTTTTTAATAATCTAAATGACGTCAGCCTTACGTTACATAGGCAGGGTGTTAGGCTAGGCGATTTTTGTCTGACTTCTCAATTGGCTCACCTTGGGTCCAATTGCTCGAGTGGGCTCGTGTGTTTTGGGGAGGGAGAGAGTGGATTGGGTTGCCTATCCCAAGGCAATAAGCAACGATGAAGTTGCTCTAAGGTGGAAGAACATGATTAGATATTTATAGAAAGAAAAAAAAATCATTTTTTATTTTTTTAATTAATTTTTATGATTTTTTTCATTTATAATTTTTTGTATTTTTAATAAATTTTTAATTGTAGCTGACGTAAACCTTGCATCACATGACCTAGGGGCTAGGTTAGTCGATTTTAGCCTAGGTGAGCAACTCGGCTCCCCCCAGAACCCAGGGGATTGGAATGGGGTGGAGGAGTTTTGGAGAAGGAAGGGGATTTAATCCACTATCCCTAGGGGATTTGAGAGGGGTGGAAGTGCTCTAAGTATAACTCATCTTTTTCTTATCTTAGCTAAAACTCAGTGGCTAGGGTCACTTAGTACTACGGTCTAGTGGTATTCATCTTCATTTGTAAATAAGAGGTCTTATGTTCGATTCTCGCCAAAGGAGAATTTGAACCATATTATTGCTAACCAATTGTGAGGCTAAGCCCACTCTATTTTTCTTAGTGTAGATAATATTGTTTGTTAAAAAACAAAATAACACCCTCAGTGGCTAGGATCTACTTAGCAAATTACCGATCCCCTTAGCAAATTACCAAATTGAGCATGTGTGTTAAATTTTATATCTTTGGCATTTCTAAAATACCGCCAACTAAGTCATTACTTCATTATGGACATTAATAGTGGATTTTTTATTATTATTACGAGCGATAATAATATGGTGCTTGCAAGTGGCCCTCTACCACAATGGTGAAGAGGAGTGCTGCCCTTACATCATGGTATGAGTTCCAACCCCACCGGCTCCCTAACCTAACATCTAATCTAACAAATATATCGTTTGACCAAAAAAAAAATTAAAAAAAGATAATAATATGGAGCTTATGGCACTCTAAAATGTTATTTTGCACTCTTCATAAGTATATTTTTCTCTTTTTAAATAAAGAAAGTTTGGAGTGCAAAATGAGATTCTTAGAGTGCCGATAATAGTTGTTTATGCAAATTTCATTCATAATTAGATTGATGAAATAATACTTACAAAACAAGAACACCGTTAGCCTAATGGACGAACACCCAAAAAAGGGAGGGTATCGACCGAAGATCCTCCAATGCCTGAGCAAAATAGTTTGAGAGAAACTAGAACGTAGAAAATTTTGAATGATAAATGGCGATCACCGATTTCTTGTTGGACTTGGTTATTTATGTTGGAAATTAAGTGTAGTATTGCAACAAATTAATAAAACAGAAGGCATATAGCAACGATACATGATAAATACCAATTTGATTAATGCATCAAAACATACAATACAATAATTGTACAATTTAAACAGGAAAGAAAGTTGTAGAGGCATGTTACTTGGTCGAGGCTAGTGTTGGACACTATGCCCTTAAGACAATATTAAGACCCACACTAGTGATGGTTTTCCGTGTTCATTAATTTCTCAAGATATGACTTTCCGTTCTTGTGATAGTAACATTCCAAAGCACAACAAGAAGCAAACCAAGATTATGCAGAAAGTCTCTCTCAATGACTCTCGAAAAGACTCTAATTTTACGGAATAACTGGATATTTGAAAATTGTATATTAGGCTATAATGGGTTGCTGTATTTGTAGAGATAAAATACCCTTTGGGCGACGGGTGTGACTCCATATAGAGGAGACGCACTGCATACACAGAAATGACTCGTTCTTTTTCATTAAATTTTCTCATACGGCTTGCATCTCATGCGATTGAAATATTAGGGTACAAAACCATATCTGATATTACAAGAGCAGTAATGGCTTCGACAATAACACATGGAGGATGAGTTTGCAAACTTCCCTTTTCTTATTTGTATTATGTTTGGATGAAGAAATTTAAAACATAATACAAATAAGAAAAGGGAAGTTTGCAAACTCATCCTCCATGTGTTATTGTCGAAGCCATTACTGCTCTTGTAATATCAGATATGGTTTTGTACCCTAATATTTCAATCGCATGAGATCGCATATATACAAATAAGAGCCTAACGATGCACCCTTATCGTCGTTTGAATTTTTAAAACTATACAAACCCTCATGAATAGTATTTTTAAGGGAGATCAAAATAAATAAAATTCAAAATTATTAATGTATAAGTCTGAAAAATGTGAAAGCATATATAAATGTGTAAGGTTCCTCAACCTTGAAACGCAACTCCTTTCGTTTTACCTATCCTTGAACATTTAGTATTTTATAGTAATGTATTAATGTTTTTTTCATTAGGCTCTTATTTTGGAGTACGTAATACTTGAAAGATAAAAATATTTTTTTTATGTTTGAAGTAATATTTATGTGACATTGTGGTATACATATACTAATTTAGTATTATGTTTTCTCTTTTTTGGGTCAATTTATGTTTTTCATTTTCATTATTTATTGACTTAAAATATATTTTATTTAACGGGTAAAGGGTCGGGTCATATTACCTGATAATATTAACAGGTCGGGTCATATTACCCGTTTACTTTAACGGGTGTTACACGACACGACCCATTACAATATCGAGTATGTCATGAAAACGACATGACACAAATGACAGGTCTACCTTCTGGAAGAACCCTGGAACACCTCTACCAAGTAGTGACGCTGGAGCGCAGGACATCCAAAGGAGACTCCAAAGAGTCAACTCCTATATCTTTGGGCAATGGAAGGCATGGTGCCAAGAAAGGGATATCATGGACCCGAAGAACTCTTTGTTATTCGTGTGGGCCTGAAGGCCCATCACTATAGGACATGTAGATACTTGGCCTTTTGAGGTTTGATGTGGTATGCTCATGACATTAAGGGTA